TTCTTGTACCATAGGCCAATAACAACATGGCCAGGCGCTCAGTAAGTGACCTCCTCGCCCACCTTCTCCGGCACCCCAAGCACAGGGGAAGTGTCAGTGCCGGAGAAATCTCCGTCAGATTTTCAGGGGATGGGAGGCAGGTGACAAGGAACAATAGGATCGGTGCAGTCATGGGTACTCTCCGGATCGTCCCGAACCGTAACACCATCAACAAGGAGACGGAGAGTGCCCAGCTGCACCATACCATAGATGAGGAAGCTTCAATTTTTGTGTACGAAGGTAGGATTTGTAACAGTTACATCAATTTGACATTCATAAACAATTTGTTATCGCCATTTTGGTTTTAGCTCAGCCAACCAACTTCCTGTAACTTCTGTAACTTCCTTCTTTTAAATGTAGTCATGCCTACATTCCAATAACCTTTAAGCTTGTAAGGCTAGTTTTTCAGGTTTTACAACAAGGAATATGAATAAACCAGTTGGTACTTGTTTCTAATCAGGAGGAGAGGATCATGAAGTCCAGAGGGAGACTGCAGGAATGGTGTACAAGGAGATTGAGGACATTCGAAAGAATGGACTGGTCATCGATGGAAAGACAGTCAAAGTCAAATGGTATGTAGATTCATAGTTTATTGATGTATCTTCGTCACCATACATATAGAGCGCAATTCTACCCTGTAGATGCATCCTTCATCAACCAAGAAAGCATAATCCCTTTTTCTTGGTCCATTGTGAAAGATCAGTACAAATGCACAAAAATTGCGACCTGAAGTCAGGTGGTGAAACCACTATTCTGTTAGCCGGGGCCCTTCCCCAGTTGATTTTGACAGGAGGTTGGAAGTTTTTGACCAAGAATGGTCTATTCATCTACAATCATCAGTCATACACTTTAACATCATTAGGAAAGGTATAAGGTCATGGAACTCTTTATAACGAGTTAACTATTGTACTAAGATGATGAAGACTTATGTGTTACCTACATAATTGCTATCATATACTCTCTCATATTTAAAAATATCAATTGTTTTCATCAAACCGTGTTTATTTTTACTGTTTTCTGGATTTAGAGTGTTTTTTTCTGGATTTAGAGTTTTGCTTGTTGTCAGTGACAAAGTTGAATTCACTTTCTGTGTTACATTATTGATTTTCCTGCACCATTTGACACCTAGGTACCTCACTGCAGACTGGAAATTCCTGGCCACGCTGCTCGGCCTAAACCAAGCCAGCAGTAAGTCCTTCTGCCTGTGGTGCCATTGTAAGAAGGAGGAAATCTGTGACTTTGATAGTAAGTACCAATGATTATATTTTACAGATGATTTAGTATTTCAATGTCTATGCAGTGCCATGCAAAGAAGGGTTAATACAAAATAGCAATGTCACCGTACTGTAAACTTGATATGCCAACCCTTGTAGCTGTTACATGTGCATGCAGTACAGCCAGACTGATTTGATATTTTCTGAGAAATAGGGTGGACTAATAATACTATGCTGCAATACATGTACACTAAACTGCTTGTTTTCCATGTTTCAGCTTGATGATAGAGTGATATTGTTTTGCAATCAAGCATTGATTTACAACATTTTTAATTTTTGTACATGCAGAACCAAGCTGGAACATACAGCGTAAGCCAGGGGACCACAACCGCTTCCTGGGCCAGAGGGAGCACAAAGGACATGTCCTGCCTCCCCTGGTCGACTTCAACTTTGATGAGATTGTCCCCGACGTTTTGCACATGGTATGTGTTTAGAAAAGAATTTGTCCATTCTTTTTGTTCTTTTTTAAGTCAATCAATGTGTTTGTTTTCCAGGGTACATTTGTACCTACCGGTAACAACTGTGACTTCTGTATGTTTCAGGGCATGAGAATCAGAGGCAAGTTGTTCAACCAGGTAATTAATCAACTTTACCTTTTGATATTGTTCTCTACACAGTTTACTATGTACCTTACATTTATAGAGTCCTTACATTTATAGAGTACTAAAATCATAACTTTGATGTACCCTGTAAACAGGTGGTTGTATGGGCAATCAATCAGCGGCGGACCAAGGAATTGGTGGCCGCTATGAAGGACACTGGTGTCCCCTTCAGATTAATGGAGGGGACAGGAGACGACGGCAAGGGGTCCATCAGGACATGGACGCAGCTTAATGGTAAGATAGGTGACTTATGTATCATGTGCTACAGTTTTTAAACAATACAAATAAATATTACACTAAAGTATCGATGCAAACAAAACACTTGCACTGACACTGATTATCTTTTACAGCGAAACAACTAGAGCGTGTGTTCGAGAAGCTCGACCTTAATGCTGTGCTTACAGACAGGTGGAGCCCTGCTGGGCTAACAGTTGCCAGCCTGACTGTAGCACAGCTTAAGGTCGAGCTTCAAAAACGTGGGCTTGAAACTGCAGGGAGGAAGGATGCCTTGGTGAAAAGGTTGTCTGAATTCCTGCATAGTGACCAGGTATGTATTGTTCAATCCTGTGATTAGTAATTTTGTTTCAACTGCTGATTTTTACATCTGTTCATAAATCATTGAATGGTAAGTTATGAACAAATATCATGATTCGATTTGGAATAAATTTATATGGACTATATGTATATTCAATTGCATTTTTCACAGCTTCCTCTACCTGAAGAGGACCAGGCTAATCACCCCATCCTCATCATTGGCAACATTATCAAATTGTGGAAGGTAAATTGTTTGATTCACTTTTATATCTTTGATGTTGATACTCTGTTTTTTACTTGGTACCTGGCATAGCACATGTCTACACTGCAATCTATAATTCAAGAATTTACCTTTACAGGATTTTGAGGAGCTTGCTGTTGCCATGAAGGCAGAGCCAGGTGCAGCTGGCCACCTGGCCCCTTCAATGTTTCAGCAGAAGGCAAGGGAATGGGGAAAGCTCTTCAGAAGAGTGACTTTTGACGAGGTTAGTCCTACTGCTAATCAAGTGGTTGAAAACTTTATATAAAATGATTATAACTGTGTTACAATGATGTCGACACTCGTTTTTACTGTTCTTCACTTAATTTTTCTTTGTTTTCAGCATGTCACTCCATACATACACGCCATGGTCTACCATGTGCCCCAGTTTCTGAGGAGGTACAAGTTCATTAATGACCTTTCCTGTGAAAGTGTTGAGCAGGTATGCATATGTAGTATATTACATTGGAAGTAGTGAAATACAGATGTAACTTGTTGCATACCTATATTTTATAGAAGTACATACATGCTGACGATGTGCTTTTACCATTGTCAGCAGCTTTGAAAAAAAACTGCAATATATGACTTTCTGTAAAAACACACTGAGGTAAGATATTGATAAATGCTATTTTTGTCTTAGAAAAACCACACACAGAATAGGCGTTTCCATCATGGCAGCCAGAGGAGTGGTAGAGGCAGCAAATGGACAGTGCAGGTATGCTGATGTCTGCGTTGCCTTTTCTTTCATCACCTTCCACTGAACATGAAACATAAACAAACACACACCATAATATATCTCAATCTTAATCTGTACAGGTCATGGAATATGAAAACAGGGACCTGTTTGCTGTCCTGAACAACTTAGACAGAAAGAAGGCCATGATGGGACCAAATTCAGCACAAAGAAGAGCAAACTTGCAAGGTTTGTCAGATATAGTATATAATTGAAACTGTACCAAAGCTCATATGATTGTAATATAGCAGCCACACTTTGTTTCAGCCTTCATCTATTCTAGTTCTGTTCCATCAAACCTTGTTTACTTGACCCATCTATACTGGCTTCTAGCTCTGTGCTGTAAATTTCACTGAGAAATCCGTATGAAGTAAGATTGTAATACTCTATACGAAGTAAAATAACAACAACTAAATTTCAACTTTTTTGACAGATGATCAGCAGACAGAGGGGCAAGATGATCAGCAGACAGAGGAGGAGGAAATTGTACAGGAAAGGGAGGATGGATATGAAGAGGAGGAAATTTTCGAGGAGGATGATGACGAGGATGCATAATGCTTCTTTATATTCTCTATATTGTAAAAAAGAGCCTAATGTTGTGCTATATATATATATGTATATGCATGTGTGTGTGTGTGATATATGTGTATTTTCAATAGTTTCACTCTAGTATTCATTTATGACTGTGATCTCCTCTCCTCTAAACTGTTGTGCTTACCTGTACATAGAGACATAGCTCGTACCTTTTTGGGTGGATTGTGTTCACAACTTCCCTTCTCAGAGAAAGGGTCAGCCATCCTTCGTCCAGATGCTGTGTCTCCTGTAAATATGTGTAGAAAAATGCAATTTGATGGATTGACTTGCAATTTAGTGTTTGTTCTTGCATTTGTGCAAAAAAGCAACAGTGCTTTACAATAGATATTTTCTTCTAGTATTGTTTCTGTTGTAAATAGCAAGCTATACCTTTGGGCAGCACTGTGATGGCCGAAGTCTCTCTGCGCGCTTGTGTGTGCACCTGGGGCATTCAGAATGGTCATATCTGACCACAGGCCTGTAGCCCCAGGTGACACGGACCTCTGTCACCAAGATGAGAGAGGATGACTTGAGCGGTTTCCGGTGCCATCCTCTGCCAAGCACTGCGATGAGCTCAGTTGGGTGGCAAGAGAATGTCTCTGGCTGTCCTGAGGGACCTGCCACCCAACCAATAATGTTCAGCGAACGAAAATGCTGAAAAGTAAAATGCAATATTATGAGAATTGTAGTAGTGTATCATTCTTGTTATGTCAGATAATATTTCAACAATATCAGCGATGTAAACATGTGTTCTTAGTATGTACCTTGTCGAACTCTGTACGTGGGAAGGGGATGGTCAGGCTGGCCTTGGTGTTATATTGTCCAGCCTTGTGACTGCCCTCCCCTAGGGCAGTGAGGATGGCAGTTTTCAAGTACTGAATTGTACTTGAGTCCTCCTGAGTTCCCCCCCTGCCCAGAGCAGTGGCCTCCCTGTAGTGATGCAGGTAGGCCTCCAACTCTGGGTTCTCCTGGAGGGGGACCCAGGAGTGCTGCTGGCCAGGCCAACTCCCTGCCCATTTCACCTTCACCTGTAAATTGAAAGAAACATTATTATGTACAATGTATAGTGAAAGTTCCTTGTAATTACAATGGTTGATCATGTGTCAGTCAGATATGGCAAAGATTTCTTTATTAAGGTGACACTAAATTAGAAATGCATAAAGCTGCAAATTTACCGGGTCAACTTGAAGTATATGTTTTACGGCTACCAGTACATATTTCTTACTTGTCATAAGATGGTGAAGCTATAAGAATATATATAGATTACTACATACAGGGTACTAACTCTATATACTCTGGATAAAGATGACTGACATGCTCCTATCCCACATTGTGCCCACAAACAACTAAATTAGAATCAAAAACATACCACTATACTAGTGTAGTTTATCACTCCCTCAGTATATGAGGTTTGTATTTTTAAAGATGTTTTCAGAGATTCTTGTATCAGGAATACTCAAACTAGTAAACAACATAGAGTGAAACCTACCCAAGTTTCGCCTCTTCGTTTCTCCTCGGCAACTACATCTTCCACATTGTATAGTTTGGGTGGCTTTCTCCTAGCTCGCCTTAAAATCTTGCCAAACTCTTTTTCCCCCCAAAAGTCCTCCCCAAATGGAAATGTTGCCATTACTACTAAATATGCTCTGTGTAGTGAGGTCAACTTGAGTTCGTCTCGTCTCTCAAGTAACGGGATACACGTGCGCGCAGGGTGACCTAATAGGGGTGACTCTGGAGGACACAGGTTGTCAGTCACCATGGTCCCTGAAGCCAGCTTAGGCCAAACCCTCATTACCGTATATGGTATTCCCGGGCAAGGACGTCATGTATGAAATTAGCTTCCTTGGGCCGGCGGTACTGGGGTTACTGGGCCGGTGGAT